TATTTAACTCGTGGTGCAAAAAGCTACAGGAAAACTTCATAGTACTGAATTCATTTAAAAATGTAAACCTAAAATCCAGAATGATGTAAAAAGGAAGAACAATAAATGCTGAGAGGCCAGAAAGGACAAAAGATGTTGTCAGTCTCGTATGACATGCAGTGCAGAAAACAGTGATGTCAGCTCCTATGAGACTTCCTATGAATTCCTATGTTCTGCTTTTAACAAACTCAAGCTGTTCTGTTGACAACTGTCAGTAAAAGTGGAAGAGTTTAAAAAATAAAGGGATCAGTAGCTCTAAAGTACAGGTCACAGCCAGTATGACCCATGATGTTTGTCAAAGTCATATACTCTGCACTCTTCTAAGCCCAAGCAAACGGATGCTGAATTAGCAGAAAAGCACTTCACTCAGCATATACTAAATGCACCAGACAGCAGAACTGCAACATCAGAAGACTGCCATCTGTGAAGGTGCTACTGCCTGCTAGCAAAAGTTTGTGTCTTCTCACTGAGCTGAGGAAGACCCAAGAGAGTTCCATATTCACTGTTGTTCTAGGGAGAGCATCACAGAAGACTACTTCATTAAGCCTAATCCTAAGGCTTAATGAAGTAAGCCTTTTGTTTTTACAGAAAACTCCATTGACAAGTCTTTAATGACGTTCAATTTTTAACAGTATACACCTGAAATGGGAATAAAGATATAATAAATAGGTAAGATAAAATGGGTATATTTAAGTCTGTTTAATAAAATGTATAAAAGTAGTAGGCTTTTGGATAGAAGCTGTGAACAATAGAGAAGATAGCACATTAGAGCTCTATTTTAAATCTAGAAAGTTTTAGATAGATCTCCACATTAAGTGTTGCAACAATTCAGAGAGCATAGGTATGCAGAGATGTCTAAAAAGTAGGAAATACTAAGCAGTGTAAATGAAAGAAGCTCAGTCTAACTAGCCAGCTTTATGAGAGTAAGAAGTGTCTGAAATTTGAACCTTGCTCTATTTAACAGCCTGCATGCCAGATTTCCCCAGTCAGATCTTCTGAAAGGTTGACCAATTTGTTTCAATATGGTGACCACAGCACCAAAAAAAGACAGTGTCTATCTGAAGAACTGTATGGAAATTTTTCTTCACAATGTGAAGCCTAAAGTACAAAAGCAGTTAATTTATCACAGGGAAGCAGGGATTCCTTTGGTAACTAATTCAAACTGCTGATGATGCACTAAATCAGAGTGAGTGATGAACACATACATAGCAGCAAGTGAAGTTCAAAAGGATACAGATCTGTGTGATCAATGAGCTGCCACGTGGCAAATGAAATGCAGTGTTGACAGATACAGAGTAATAGAGATGAATCTCCAAAATAATCAACCAAATATAAGAAAAATGTAAATTAACCACTGCAGAATGGTCTCTTTACAGAGTTGAAGGTGTTTCTTTACACACATCTAAATACCAGACCTTCAAATCTCTAGGCTTTTTTCTCTGATATGAGAAAAAAATAAAAACACTGATAACTTTAAGAGATGTCTTGTAGTAAACCTATAAAACTTTCCTAGAAAAGTAATACAGTAACAGAAGTTAAGTAGCAATAATTCATTCCAAGCACACAGATTAAGAATAACAACCCACAGGTGAAAATCTCATACAAATCTAAAATTATATTGCATATTACTAAATGATAAGGCCAATTTTGGTGCCTTCTGCTGACCAAGCCTCTCCATACTCCCAACTGATGTTCTACCAGATTAATGGAATTTTGACTGAAAAGCAACACTTTGTAATTAGAGTACTGGTATTTAGTGACGTTCACCCTTTCAGCTTTCCTGGAGCAAATTAAATTTGGCACATCAAGAAAGAAGTCAGGACTATTAACAAGAAACGTATCATCCAGTATGAGAAGGAAAGTGTCTCTAGACTTTTTTCTACAGGAAGAATAGCTGTGACTTTTTTGTATCCAACAGTTATCAGCTGTGGTAACAGTTACTGTTGTTATTCAGTCATTAAACATAAGTGGATTCCCCCTTGGATTTGTCTGTGACATGCCATCTGAAAACAGTGAAAAAAGATCTGTCTTTGTTACTAAATCTTGTGCTTGATACTGTCACATGATTCGAGACATCTTTTCTTCAGGGGTTCCAGAAAATCGTATCTTCATTAGGAATTCTCTTGGCCGCACTTTTACAATGGAAGTTCTACACTATATATCCACCTTATATTTACTGTGATAGAAATGGGCCAGTTACCCTCAGTAGATATGAATCTGTCCAAACCACGTATTCTATAAAACTGCCACGGTTCCTATTTTATATCTTCACAGACTCATCAATAAAATGGTTTGCTGAATTCTGGGCATCATGGGCACCTTTGTACACATTCTTCAGTTTACATTAATTATCAAATAATATCCAGCATTGAGCCATGTTTCCCTTCACCAACTTTTTAGTTTCATTTTTAACACAACTGATTGTTTTCTTTGACAGGCTATCTTGACTTCTTCATAATATCCACCTGCCAGGTGATAGCATGCAATTAGATTCAGAAAATGTAAGTGGCAAGAGACAAAAAAGGTAGACATGCCACTAGGCTTCTTGCTTTAAAATTTATCCTTTCCTCTCTTTAAGCCAAAGGCTTGTTAGCATTGTATAAAAGCTCTAATTTTGCAACTCTTAATAAGATGATGAATCATACCTTGACTTCAATGAAATCACAAGCATTCCATGCAAATGCATATAAAAGGTTACTCATTTTGATCTATGGTGGTGCAATAAAACTACACAAATACTCTTTTTTGTCATCTGTGAAACACTAAGGACATAACTCATAAAAAGAACTGAAATAATGATCATATTAACACTGATGCGTTTTACATACTGGAGGCTAATAACAAATAAGGCCAGTAAGATAAAGCAAAGGTCTTTCAGAACTCAGTTTCTCAGAAAGCCATTAGAATGAGCAGGAATGAACCAGCAAGTACACTTTTGTACTTTTGTATTTGTTACTTGAAGAGATTTCTAAATAATAGTAATGATGCTTTACTTTTGCAGCAATATGTGAAAAAAGCCACTTAGCTACTAACACTGGAATTCTGTAATAAAACTGGATGCAAGGGAACTTCATGCTAAATCCCAAGTAACAGTACTGGGGCTAAAGAGCTAAAATGATAGAAAGGGTGAATCAGTTATATCATTTCCCACATCATTAGCAAAGCTAGCATCCCAGCTCTACAGAACATAGTCAATGTTATTTTGTTACATTCACAAAGAATCAAAAGAATTAAATGAATGACAGCCACTTCCAATTACATAACTTGTAGCTTATGAACAAGCTCATGAACACCGTGCTTTATTTTGTTCAACATGGAGTCAGACATACAGAAAATCTCCATCTGGATTTCAAATAGTTTTTTATAAGCAGAAGCAGAATCCACAAGTTAGATTTTCACAGATTTTTCACTGGCTTTGATAAAGGAAGAGTTTCTATTAGAGCAGAAACAGTGAAAAGGAAAAATAAAAGGAAAATATTAGGAACACCAACTCTACTGCAACTTTGATTTTTTAGATTATAATTATTTTGTTTGATTTAAAGTATTTTTCTTTAACTTATTCCACGACAACTTTAACTCTGTTCAAGGCAAACAGAAAAAGGAGGTTTGATATATATGTATAAAAATGTTCCCTTTCTCCAATTCTCAGTGAAATGCACTTTTAGCAAAACTGAATTTCCTTATGAAATGTAGTTGAAATATAGACTGCTGGACTAACGACAGAAATCTTCTTGGCTTAAATGAGATGAGGATTTCAATATCTACATATACAAGATCTTAGGAAAAAGAAATCAGATGAAATTAACTAAGTGATCAGACCAAATGTTATAGCTAAGGAAAAGATTTAAATGGGTCCCACACAAAACACAAATGTCCTATAAACCCTCCAAAAAAGTCACGTTTTCCCTCTTTCCTTACATTGCCTACTGCATGGAATACACTTCTCTGCAATATAACTAAAGCATTTATGGAACTTTGTTTTATATTTTTGTCTTTCAATTCATTGTGGTTAGAAGTAGAATTATTGTGTTAAAAAATGACCTGATCCGAGACATAGTTTATTTAAATTTCAAAATGAAAAGCTTACTAAGAACAGATAAGATTGATTGCTCTTTCCATCTTAGCATAATTGTATTTCAGGTGAACATCAATTTACTTTAAAGGACACTTCTAAGTAGCAAGCTGCATCATACATAATTCATCAATCACAGCTGCCTGTAACATGATTTACTCAAGCAGAATTCCATGGAATAGAGGGAGTTGCATTGTTTTTTATGCTTTGGCCTGTTTGTTTTTAAATAGTTTATGAAGCAGTCATTTGCACTGAATTATTGCTGAAAAGAGTTCGTCCTTAATAATCAGCATGTTGAATTTCTTCATACAGAATTGCTACCTCCTCAGATTTCTTTTAAAAGGTAAAGTGAGTTTTGAAGACATTGTTAAGGTAGAGAGCTCTCCATGTTTATCAAAGGCAGAAATAAAGCTTGAGGAATTTTATGTGGAGGGCAGGGAAAGGCAAAAGTATTTATCTGAAAAGCAGTTACTAGTTTCTAGGGCTATGTATTTTCTAGCTGCCTTGACTTTCATATCAGCATGCAAATGTAATTGAACAGAAGCAGCTCCTTCCTCAGCTAGTCCTGCACACAGCTGTCATATGGCTAAACAGCCACTACCTGGCAATGTGCACAAACCAGACACAAAACAGTGTGTCAGCTAAAGCCCAATATCTATGTACACCAAGAGATAGAGGTGAAGCTTTCATTTACAGGGGCACCACCCTGTGTGCTACACTGCCCGGTGTTTTCTATCAAAGTCAGCTTCAAGGATATGTTGGTGCCTCGACAATCCTGAATTAAAGAAACATTTTCACAAATATATGATAGTTTAAAAAGAAAAAACGTACAAGTGAGACAAGCTGCTAGAAATACGCACTTGGACAAAGACAGAAATATCTTACTTACTTGCAAGCCCATTTGAAACACAGAGTGACCCATAAAATTAGCAAGCATTCGAATTAAAGCTGCGCCCTGCGGGAAATAATTCAGAAAAGTAAGTTGTTATTGTTAAATATTGATGTGCAAAACTAATAACAATTTGAAGTATGCAGTTGTATCCAACAATATAATCTTGGAAAATTGTTAAAGATTATTAAATAATTTTTAATTGCACTGAAATTAAAAAATGAGATAAAAGATAAGACAAAGGTTTACCAGGAAAAATGATCAAGTTGTTCCCAGCCTCATGTGCACTCAGCACTATTGTGCAATTTTCAGTGAGGCAAAATATGACATCCATGATAAAATATACAGCAATAATTATTCATAATATTCTTCTATTAATTATATTATTGTAAATCAGGATTTAGTGATAACATTTTCCTTCAGAAAAGCCTTCAAGACGTGGTGATCTAGAAGTGGATCATTTCATTTTCATTTTTAAGATGTTGATATCCATACTTGACTTCATTAACAGTCAGTTTAACTCCCACAGTCTTCCAAAGATCTAAGTATTTGTATAATATACTTACTGTACATACATCAGTTCTATCCTCTTGTCCCTTCAGGCAAAGGATTGAGATCTAAAAAATTTCTTTTGTTTTACAAATGATTCCAATTGTCAGTACTTACATCAAGAACCACAGACACACTAGCTTTCTTTAAGGCACCCCATGGGCTTTCTTACTCCCTCTCAGTATGACCATAACTTCTGTATATTTTCCACTTGTACAAGTGCTCTATTTCAAGCAAAAATACATTTGCAGAACAGATTATCTAGTCATAATGTCTTACTCTGCAGTCAAATCAGGAAAATCAGCCTCCCAGTCCCATTGATCAAATGTTACACTTAGTAATGATCTCTGTATGAGAGGGAGGACATTTCTGATTTAAAAACAGTGAATCAAAGGCTGCAAAAAAACAAGACGTTGGAATTCAACAACCTCTGCTACAGATGTAGGTTCAGGAATTAGACTAATGCTAATTAGGGGAGAAAAAAAGTTACATTACACAGATTCAAAAATTATCAGGTACTAAAGCCAAAAGGACATAAATAGCAAAAAATAATATATAGTTCATAAAGAAGAGAAAGTTATAAATGAATAAAGTTCATAAATGAAGAGAAAAAAAAAAAGAATGAATTGAGGAAATGCTTGTAATTGCTTACAAGAAATGAACACTGCATAAAGCAAAAAAGAAAAAAAGAAAAAAAGAAAAAAGATGCTTGCATTATTAACACTGTGCTGTGTTTTTATGGTAGTACCTTATCTTACTGAGAGCCCAATCATATCAGGTACACACTGCAGTATGGAAAATTCTTCCTGTCCACGCAGATTATTACCTGAGCAGTCAAGACTATAGGTCAGGAAGTGTTATTACCCTCATTTTACCAGAGGAACTGAGTGAGTAAAGTTCTCTGAGATGCTTAAGCAGATAAATTGCAGATAAATCTATGTAAGCAGATAAACAGCAGACAGAAAAGAATCTAATAAGCAGATAAATCCAATTTATTTGGTAAGTAACTTAGGCAGTGCAACCAAAAATATGTGAAGCAGAACCAAAAAAAAGCCATACATAAAATGTATCTGTCCAAACCCTTGACAACAAACATATTTTTTTTGCCACTCATTTGTCCGTATTCCCTCTTTCATTTATCAGTATCTAAATTTCAAATATTAATAATGGATGCATATTCATATAGGTACCTTAGCTCTACCAATTTCTGTGAGAAGTAAGCAAACAAATACCTGTGATCTTTCCCATACAGTCTTTTCTATCCAGGGACCAAGAACTATCAGAAACACATGAAATAAATATAAAATTGCTCTCATAGCTCTCATTTAGTCACATCGTGGATGGAACTTTGGCCTTTACACAGCAGACAAAATAAAAAAAGCAAATAAAGATTGAATAGGAGCTCTAAGATACAAAGGCAGGAATACTCTCTCCAGATCTATTCATTTTCACAGATACTTTAGAATTTCTTTCTAATTACCTTCAGGAAACCCAGAAGTCCATTTATAACATCCAGAACAACAATGTGTTTGTCCCAGTTCTGCTATCTTCCCCACACAGCTTGCCTATCTGGATGACTTATTTGCTGAAAAAATAGTATAGGAAACAAGAGAGAGAGAAAGGAAAGGGATTCTAAAGAAAAGAAGAAAAAGAGAAAACCAGACAACCAGAGAAGGGGCAAGAAACAGAAGAGCAAATGCAGCCCCTTGGTGTGAAGTGAAAAGAGATGGGGGAAGGAATGGAAGAAAACCACGTATTTCACTACTTTATTTTTTTTTTTTTACCTTGAAAGGAGGCAGAAGAGAGAATAGAAATACATTCCAAAGAAGATGCAATTGATACATCCCCAGCTCTGAGAGGGAAAGGAAAAGACAAGAAACACTGATACTGACTGGATACAAAGAGAAATAAATTTACAGAGAGAAGGATTAAAAGATCAGAGTAAGTGAAATAAAGAAGGAGGACTTCCTAAAAGATAGGCATGAAGGATGACCCTAATGATTCTAAGGAGGGAAAGAAGGTATGTACAGTATCTTCAGTTACAGGAGCAATTGAATACATACCTTTTGGATTATCTGAATGGCCCAAATGCTGGCATTTTCACTGTATATGCACCTAGCAAGCAGTCAACTATACGGAATCCAGAGAACTTCTGCTTTCTGAAACTTATACTTCTGAAAGCTTCTCTGACATAGACCTAAACCTACATATGTATAAATCCTAAATCACAACAAACCTCCCCTACTGCAGAGGATGATCTTTGGAACCTGTCAACATTATTCCTTGAATGCCCTGACACGCAACTGATCTGCTTCCCACTTCACTCTCAGGGCTACTTCTGCTCTGCCAGCACTTGTCCAACTGAGGAATGATGTATGGAGTCTTGAGAAGTGAATCTGGCTCCCTCACAGGGCACCATGACCACTTACAGATGATTTAAGTGCTTTCCTCAAGGCAGTAGATGACTCAGTACTCTGTCAAGAGGTAAAGTGTATTGGTTTTAACAGGTCTAGTGGAAAGTAATTATTTCCTATTCACTCAATGTATCTATGTTCCTGACAATACAAAAGCTTACTCAAGCTAGGGAAAAGCTATGTACTGTGCTTTAATAATAGTTCACTCAGTGCCAATGAGTAATGGCACTACCTGGTTCTGGTGAAATATCTACCCTTCATTAGCAGATTTCAAAGTGCTTCGTGAGACACTGATATCAATATACTTGCCATTACATAAATGGAAACTGAGCAACATGACAGTGAAGTCATACAGTGAGGATCACCTAGTATGTTCATCTTACAGACTGTGAACAGCTGGAGCTTCCTCAGCTTCAGCAGTGAGACAGATGCTTTAGGGAAGGAAGGCAGAAAATCAGCTATCCCATGGAAATTAACTGCATGTGCACTCCTTCCCTCTGCAAAGCACTCCTGGGAAAGCTGGACAATTAGCCAACAGTGGCTAACCTGCTGTACATTTATGGAGTGAACGTTATATAGATTTCTTTCTCTGAACAAACTCACACCTACACTACAGTAAAGATCATCCATTATTAAAATGAGGATCAACGTTCCTTTTTATGTGAGCTGAATTTGTCTTTGATATCCACAAAATGCAGAGGCATTTTAAGTTAAGGCATTCAGTCTAATTCCCACGCATAAAAAATAATAATGAGATTGTAACTTTGATCTCAGATTAAATGAATTTAATTTTTAAAGACTCACTCACTCCTACATTTTGTGATTCTGTGACATCACTACAGGTTCACAAATACTGTAAGTTAATTCAATTCTCTAATTAGTTGATCTGATTTTACAATATCTGAATTCTTAAACTAATTATTTCACTTGCAATTTACATCTTGTAATCACTTCTTATACAAAAGAAAATACTAAATGGAATTTTCATCAGTGGGAAAAAAAAAAAAAACAACCAACAACAACCATGTTTTAAGTTTGAAACCACGAAAATATCACAACTGCTTACTACAAAGTATTGTTACACAGCCACACAGCATGGGATACCAAATACAGGTATCTGTGGCATCTCTGTCTACAGGTAGTTTAGTTGTTTAGACTTTTAGATGCTGTCAATGGACAGAATCAGTCAATCCTGCATGCACTTTATCTCAAAACAGATGAGTTGTGCCCTAAATGCACCTATCACTTACATTTGGCTCCAAAATGACCCTTGGATGACTAGCTTATATGCACCAATCTGCACTGCAGTCATCTAAAGTTAGGTGAGATTAATTCAACTGCACTGCTCAAAAAGGCCATATGCAGATTGATTCCCCACTGTTACAGGAGTTCTATACTAGTAGGTAGTTCCCAAGAATTTCTGAAGAATTAAGACACAAAACTGGTGGGATACCATCTTCTCATATACAGAGAGGCAAATAACAAATCATACCTCAGTTTATTATATTTTCTCATGAAAAAACCACAGCCAGGTACTCAAGACAGTGTCCTGAAGATATGGCAGTGCGCTTTGTAGATGGAGGCAGATGTTCTGTACCAAACAGGTAGTAAATAAAAATACTAAAAATAACGAATGAAGTCATTTTGGAGAAGCAGATACTGTGACAATCAGCAAATCAGTACACAGAACTATGCAGAAGCTAGGCAAGGACAAGGGGCCACACGTGAAGAGATACAGTTGACTTGTAAACACATCCAGCCTTATTATTTTAAACTTCAAAAATTATGTCAGTACTCCAAAAAGTGCTCACGAGAGAAAAATGTCAACAACACAGAAAAGAAGCTGTGAACTACAGTTGACACTCAGAAGAGTAAAATAATCTATCATTTTGTAAATGAGCTGGAGTAGGGAAAGACAGAGAGCGTAAAAGGCTAACTAGCATAGTTTTTCCATCCGCATTCCCATCAAATTTTGTCATTTTTTTCTCTAGAATATCATCTCTTTTTTTCTTCTTTCTCCTTCTGCTTTGTGAGTTTTGCTGTTTCTTTTAACCGTAGGATGGAGGTTCATGTGACTGAATGCAGATGCCTACACTGTAACTA